AAGTACCTGCTGACTGGAAAAGTTAATCAGGATAACTTAGAGGTAATGTATATTTTTCTTATTTAATAATCTGTTTATTGTATTACCAATAAATTTTACATGTACTTACCTGTTCTACAATGAACAACTACTTGCCTTTTTTAGAAATTCTTTGGCACTATACGCCAATGCGCGGGATGCAACGATCATCCAAATTGCCCAACATTTTTACAATTGTATAAATTGCTATCGGTGTATAGCGTGATTAAGCCTCCAAAATATGGTAATTGCACGGTTTCGTCTGATACGAGACCAGCGACGTTGATCTCTATTAGTGAAATCAAAGCAATTTACGGCAACAAACGTGGGGGCAAAAATGCGGAATATGTGCGAAAAATAAAGGAAAAACTCGACCTTGTATTGCAACATGACGATTGGGAGGCGGAAGATGTCATTAATCCTCATTCTGAACATGATTATGCCCTTTCCCCTATCCTCGATTGTATTATTTACTTCGTAACAAGTAAGTTTTGTAAGCGAAACGTAAGCACCTTATTCATTAGTCAACTATATGACAGTCATTTATCGCTACGCAATATTACGTGCTTTGACCCTAACTCAATAATATCATCGTTTCTTACCTTGCAATACTTTCTTGAATGCAGCCAAACACTGTCCATTTCAACTTCGGAATACCTGTAAAAAATAAAATAAAATGGCAAAAATTGAAGGATTGATTTATATTTTCTCTCGTATCTAAGTATACTTAATTTTAAAAACAAAAATACCTGCAAAAATTTTAAAAATAAAATAAAAAAAGATAAAATAAAAGAGTTGATTTTTATTCGTTATACTTACCTTGAATTGACAACCTGAAATACCCACAAAAATAAAAGAAAAAGGATAAAAATAAACATATAAAAAGATATTTTTATTTGTTCTTAATTTTCAGAATAAAAACTCGTATTTATTTTATACACATATTTTATTAATTTATAGTCTTAAATTATTTAAAGCATTATTATTTATCACATTGCTTTGTGAAAGGATTAAAAAAAAACTTAAGGACACGGAGATTCGAACCCATAATGTCGAGACTACGAAGTTGACACAAAACCACTCCGCCAAATTTCACATGACGGATGTCCCTCCCGGCCTCCGGCGTCCTTCGCCACAACGTGAACATCAATCACAACGACTCTAGTGGTTATTAGAGAACTTAAGAGGAGAAAACTAATAGCGTTTTTCATTGGCAGAACTTGTGCGCACTCAGTGCACATTAAAGCCGTTGTACACTGATTTAATCTCTAATATTTAAAGTAAAATGCAAATATTTCGACTGATAAAATACCCAGTACATATTTTACCAAATAGTGCAATAAAGAATATTGAGGATTTCATGATTTAACCCGTTTATATTAAACATACACTTTACGTTGGTTTGTGTACGACGGCTTTAATGTGTACTGAATGCGCACCAGCTCAGCCAATGAAAAACGCTATAAGTAGAAGCACGAAAATAAGCTATTTTTGAACAATTTTTTTAAAGGTAATAAAATAATCGCATCAATTTCAACTTTTGGCATACTTTAATTATAAGTCAAACATTGAAAAAAAATTTTTTTACAAAAAAAAATGGCGGCGTTACAGACTTCATTTGGCGTCTTTTGCGCGAGGTGGAAAAAGGCTGCCATCGTCACGTTTTTTGTAGCGGTCTGAAACAAAAAACCAAAAAATTTTTCAATTACTTATGAGTTTAGGCAAAGGATATACTTATAAGATTATAAAAAAGTGCAAAATTCAAAATTTGGTAAGCATTTTGATCAAAAAATTAAATTTTGCGAAGGACCCCGCACACACACACAAATCGGTAGAACGGCTTTTTCACGTGGTTTTGTGCGGGGTCCTTTAATTTTTTGATTAAAATGCTTACCAAATTTTGCAAATTTAATTTTTATAGGAAAAATAAGGAAACCTAAATTAATTGATTAAATAAATGAATTAAAACATAAAAATTATTTAATGTTTCAGCGACAGTTGTCGACGACGTGCGTCAATTATGGATAATTTAACACAAACATATTACGACTGGTACTGCAATTATATAAATTGTGTGAATAATCATAAAAGAAAATTACAGAAAGCAATAACGCTTGTAATGCCTGTAATAATTGAACATTTACAAGAAAAAAAAACGAAAACCATATAAAAAGAAACGATATTGGGAGTCTCCAATAGTAAAGAGTCGTCGTGTACATGGTAATTATGCTTCGTTGTTTCCTTTGCTGCTCACGAATAGAGAATTGTTTACTAATTACTTCAGAATGTCAGCAGCACATTTTGAAGTATTGGTTCAGTTAGTTGGGCCTAGCACTGAAAGAACACGTGAAACCATAGCACGTCGACCTATATCTGTTGGCGAGCGATTGGCTTTGACACTAAGGTACAGCAAATAATTGTAAGATTTTAATTATAATTTAATGTACATGTCAGTTTGCGATGTATTTGTTTTCTTTTCAGATATGTTGTTTCTGGAGACAGTATGGTTTCATTGTTTTCCCAATTTCGAATGGGAAAATTTACTGTTTTTAATATAATTTTCGAAACATGTACAGCATTATGGAATAAATTACGAGCATCTGTTTTAGAATTGCCAACAACTGAAGATTGGAAAGGAATTGGAAGAGGATTTGAATCTCAGTGGAATTTTCCTAATTGTATTGGTGCAATCGATGGAAAACACATTCCCATACAGGTAAAAGTTTCGTGACTTAAAAAAAGAAAAAAAATATCTTGTTCTATTTTCTTTTGTAGGCTTCCGCGGGTGCTGGTTCTGAATATTATAATTACAAAGGATTTCATAGTAAAGTGTTGTTGGCTATATGTGATTATCGTTACGCATTTACGATGTTGGATATTGAAGCTACTGGGCGCCAGAGCGACGGTGGTATTTTCTCACGATCGAAAATGAGAAAATATTTTGAAGAAGACAGAATGGGAGTGCCAAATCCAGTATCTGTATTGGACAGCGATAATGTTCTTCACTTTGTTGCAGTTGGAGATCAAGCATTTTCCTTGACAACATATTTAATGACACCTTATCCTGAAAATAACAAATTGTCACTTGATTAAAGAATTTTTAACTACCGTTTATCGAGAGCTCGAAGAATTATTGAAAATACATTTGGAATTCTTACTGCAAAATGGAGAATACTTCGAAAAACAATAGGCGCAAATATAGAAACAATTGAAGCTATTGTAAAAGCAACGATATGTCTCCATAATTATTTAATAAAAAAGGAAGAGTCGACATATTTTTGCAAGTCAATGGTAGATAGAGAAACAAAAAATGGAGATGTAATTCCAGGTATTTGACAAAATAATACATCTGAAAATAATTTATTTCAAAATTTAAATCAACCAAATCAAGCAGTATTAAGTCGAGAAGCTTTACAAGTACGAAAAAAGTTCACAAAGTTTTTCGCCAATGAAGAAGTAGTACCTTGGCAATTTCGCCAAATTTATCGTTAATAATGCAATTGACTAAATTAAAGAAAATAAATTTTTTCACACACATTTTTTTATTTTGAAAGAAACAATTTTTATTTGTTAGAAATTTGTAATAACATTTTGTTGGAAATAAAATAAAATAAATAAACATGTATTGAAATATAATAAACTGCGTACACTGCGTGTCAACGATTCTATTCCTGAGGTAATGGGGGAACATATAGAAATTCTAGTAATAGACTAATAGAAATAACCATAATAGCGTCTCTAGATTTATGTGTCCCCCCCTTACCTCGGAAAAGAAATCATTGACGCGCAGACCGCGCAGTATACATAATTTTTTTTAATATTTTTGTGCGATTATTTTTTTGCTTTATGTACAATTTCGTGGATACTGAAGAGCACATTGTCGAGATCAGCATCGGGTATACTCAGCATCAAGGACTCCATTAATTGTAGAAAATCTCGAATTTTTTTTTCTTTCAAAGTCAATTTTGACTGCGTAGTGTTTTGTGGTAAAGGAGCGGGGAATGGAGGTGGAATTATTGATGGTGCCTTTGCCAATTCGTTTAGAACTGACGCTATTTTTTCGATGCTGTTATTGTTTTTGTTGGTTCTTCCTCTTCTAATTTTTTCGTTATTTCTATTTTCTTCATCTTCCTCAGGAAAATTATCAATAGTCCTAAAATAGATAATAATCTATAAGATAAAAATTATATTATTTTTTATAGATTTGAATTACTACTTTTGTTTAGTTTGTATTTCTTGAAGAAATGTCATATTTTCGAAATATGGCCACGATTCGGGAGCAGCGGCAGCAGATCCAGTTGTTTTTGAACGTAAAGCTACTTTTCTCCAAAAATAATCGACCAATATATATATATTGTTGCACTCGCCGAGTCGTTCGTTCACTCACACACGCTCACACTCCCGACGCTCACGGAAATGACAAAAACACTGCAGTTATAACAAGAATTATTTCAATGTTTATTATAACGTCGCAATACAGGAGAGCGTGGACCACGTCCGCACGGTCCAGCAGCTCGAGAACAAATCTATCAGCTGTTTCCATAAATCAATAAATCCATAAATCAACAAGCTCGGACAACTTGCTAAGGACATTTCGGAAAGATGGCTCGTCGCACGCTTCAGCTCGGACTCGAAGCATACCGGGCGGCATGCACGCAACAATATATATATATATATATATATATATTAAGCTTGCATTAAAGCGAACAAAAAAAAAACTAATATGTAGAAGAAAAATACATTAATTTTTTTTGTTAACTACAACACAGCTGTTTTATTTATCCATGAGTTATGTGAACTGTTCATTCCCAACCACTTCACGTATATGTCGTTGCCTCGCCTGCGCAACACTTTCTCCACGAGATAAACGTCGGGATTGGAAACTCGCAGAAACTCGTGCTCGTAAAATCCTCCGGCTATTGGTTTCCCGCGGTAGTCTTTCAACAGATACGTCACAGGATTGGTCCGTTGTA